TACAGGTTGTTTCCCCCCCTCCTCCGCCGACGACACTAACTGTACGGAAAGAGAGACGCTAACAGAGTTTAATATATTGAAGACCTATGTAGCACAGGAACCCGTTGCACTCCTCCGCTAGTTTAAAAGTATTAATTAATGAACCAATATTTAAGGCAAAGATCCTCGCACAGGCCGCTGGGGGGGGGGCGGATTTGCACAAGGGTGAACTGAACTGGCGCCCCCACCCCCCACAACAGGGATTCCTTTAACTGCCTTTCAGTCGCGCCTCCCTGGGACTCGACAAGAGTTTTCTCGTGACCTTCATCTGCCTCGTTGAAGAAAGCAAGCGGAGTCCCTTCGATTGCACAGGGTGAAATCTCTCTCTACCCTCCCCACCCCGGTTTTGTTTTTTGTGTTTGTTTTTTTTTAAATCAGCTTTGAGTTTTGTTTTTTTTTGTATTTTGCACAACATGTCCATTTCTCGACACGAGGGAACGGAGACACCCCCATCTAGCCTGCAGCCTCTGCAGTCTTCAGCCACGGGAAGCGGCCCCGTGGATCCTCCAGGAGCGACTCACCGATCTCCCCCTCCTCCAGAGAGCTGTTCACGGTCCAGCAAACCACTGCCTGGGAGTGCTCATCCTCCGACTTGCGAGTGTCGTTTCTCAGTCCTGGGGCCGGGGGGCGTAGATGTCTGTATGTCCACCTGCTCTTTCCTCAACATCCTCTCCCCACTCAAGACGCTAAACGGGACTTCCTTTGAACTGGCTGGTCCTTGAACTGGAAGGCAGCTCGCGGGCAACTCGTTCTTCGCTTTACCAGCCCTTCTCCCCTCCCTCCCTCCCTCCCTCGAGTCTGTCTTTTTTCCTCTGCCCTATTGAATCTCGTAGATGAGCCAGCTAGGTGTGCTCCAACCTAAGCAACCCAGGTTTCCCCATCAGTACCTACAGATTTGTTGCCAGTAGCTGATTGCAAGACACGGAGACCAGGCTGGAAAGCCCTAAGCCGGAGTGACAAAATCGATTTGCCACGTCCGCCGCCCAGAAATCAACATTTCAAGCCCTCGGTCTGGAAGAGGTGGTCTGGTTAGTGTTTCATCAGTCAAACTCCTGGGGCGGCATCCTAGCCCCCTACTCTATCTTTCTCTGCTTATTAGAAACAAGGTGGTATTCGGACACTAGAGAGGGGTATCACGCATTTCAAGTTAAACATCGTCAGAGGATGTGGAAGTAGAGCTATCCACGTGGTTGGCTAGCTCTTCTCATAGATGATAGCTTGAATTGCCTACCTCTGTCGACCACGGATGTGGTCAGTGGTTGCAGATACGATGGAGCACAGCAGAACCCAGATGGCAGCCATTCAGTCGGGTTAGAACGGATAAGAGGAAGTCCTTCTTCACCCAAAGAGTGATTAACACTTGGGATTCACTGCCACAGGAAGTGGTGGCGGCTACAAGCATGGACGGCTTCAAAAGGGAATTAGATAAGCATATGGAGCAGAGGTCCATCAGTGGCTATTAGCCATAAGGTTTAGATAGGGGCTCTGGGGCAAGTGATGCTCTGTCATCTTCGTGCTTGGGGGGGGGGGTCAACAGTGGGAGGGCTTCTAATGTCCTGGCCCCACTGGTGGACCTCCTGATGACACCTGGTATTTCTGGCCACTGTGTGACACAGAGTGTTGGACTGGATGGGCCTTTGGCCTGATCCAACATTGGCATCTCTTATGTTCTTAACTGCTCCAGGTTCCGTCGCTAGAACGCCCTCCGGTCTCTGCAACGCACCAGGTAACTTTCAGCGCCCTGGTGACTTGCAGCGGCCAGCAGGTTTGGTTTATCTGTATCCGAGGAGGGTTCTTCAGGACTGTGTTTGCTGTCGGGGGACAGATTCTGACAAGACTCCGGTTGGGAGATGAGCCCTTCGGAGGTTCACTTTCCTTTCTCGCTTCCGAAGCACAGTACTGTGAAAAGAGACAGCTGCCCTGGAGAGCGATCGGCGCTGTCCAGATCTCGTAAATGTGTGCATATTTAATCCAACGTATAGCCCTTTGCACTCTCCCGGAGATTTTTACTCTTTCCAGGCCAGTCGTATAGCATGTTAAGAATCACGTTAATGATGAACATTAACAAGCACTGGACATAACAGCGTGTAGTTTTGCCGCTATATATTGCATTTACTGGCATACTTGGATTAAACGCACATATACCGGTGAGATTCGGAGGGCTCTGGTTTTCACGACAGCTGTATCGGTGTGTGGTGTGGAGTTGGCGAGGCAGCTGGTATCGAACCCTTGTGTTACCTCATAGGAGCATAGTGTCTCAGAGCCTCTCTGCCCCCGCCCCCACCAAAGCCTTCGTCTAGAGGCCCTGGGGATAGCGAGAGGCTTTGGGCCACCGCCTATCGCTGGTTTGCGCAGGGCTTGCGCCTGGCGTCACGAAGCCAGCGGCACAAGCTTGACGGGCAAAAATTCCCCATTCATTTGGGCTGAAGACCCACTTGCAGGGTTTTCAAGAGGAGCGCCAGGCTACTTTCTGCTTGGCATATCCTTACGGGAGGAGGGCAAAGGGGTCGGAGCGGGCAGACCTGTGGGCGACGGCACTTTCTTCCAGCGCGAGCCGCCGTGCCCTGACGCAAGGCGCGGGGGAAGGCCCCTTGTGCTGGGCGAGGGAGTGTCGCGGTTCACAGAGCGGGTCCCCGCGATCCATCGTCACGCGTGCTGTGAAAAGGAGCGGCCCCAGGTGCATGATGGGGAAGAATCCCGGCCCCGTCGTCCAATCCACTCGCTCGTGCTTCCCCGTGGGACGTTCAGCGTCTCGCCCGTAGGTTGGCACCCTTGTCCAAAGGGAACGGAGGATCCCTTTGCTGGGGGCGGGGTATGTTCCTGGAATGGTCAGCTGACAGGAAGTGTTGAGGCCCGGCAGGCGCCGTGTGATTTAAACAGCAGTTGTGTTGTATTGTGTGCGGCACGTGGTTGAGGCATGACCTCGGGCCAAGGCGGGTTTTGCCCAAGGGTGACTGTCCACAGCCCTCCAGACTTGGAAGCCCATTCTCATAATCAGGGATGAGTCTGGCCATGGTTCCCTGGGGTTAGAGAAGGCGCGCCCTCCATTGCATCTCCAGAGTCGCCCACTCATTGGTTATCGCTTTGCACGTTCGGGGCTGAGCCCTGCCATCGGGATGCGTTCCACAATTGGGCTTGGAGGCGATTCCCGGCTCCGAGTCAAGTCCCGAACCACCCCTCTTCATCACGGGGCGCCCTGGCCCCGCAGCAAAGCCCACAAAAGACAAGACTCCCAACCGGCGCGGATGCTTCTCTGTCGTATCATTCTGGTTTTTCAAAACTGAGTCCAGCCGGCCAGAGAGACGCTTTCCTCGCAGGGCACACCGGGGACTTCTCGTAGACGTGGACGTCGTGCCACCGGACTGGCTCCCCTCCCCCAGGAAAAAAAGCCATACCGGGTCCCGTACCTCTCGGCACGACTCGCACCTGTCTCGTCCCAGTCTGGTAAGAGCAACGGGGGGGGGGTAAAGCCATACCGGGTCCCGTACCTCTCGGCACGACTCGCACCTGTCTCGTCCCAGTCTGGGGGGGGGGGGGAGGGGAGCACCGAGAGGGAAAACGGCTCTGCTTCCGACCTGCTGGGAATCAATTCCGCGATGGGACTCGAGGACTCTGGAGGACAATGTTACTTCTGCTCTCTGCCGTTTCTCCTCCCCTCCCCGCCCTCTTGATGCACGCCAGCCTCCGCGCCCCCCACTCCCGGTCCGCAGAAGATCACGCCCAGAACCTACCAACGCCCCCCCCCCGTGCCTTCGTCACTTTACTACCTGCTCTAAACGTTTGTTACTTGTTGTGTCTCCAGGAAGTGTTTAAATTATAGAATCGTGAACTCCTTATTTATACTAAAGAGACAGTTTTCACACTGCGGCCTCCCCGGCTAACTGTTATGTGAGTGGAACGGGGTGGGCGGGGTGGGGAAGGGTGCCTGTAGGGTTCGGCGAGACTCGAATCGTGAGACGACTAAACTTTCGGTGGCTTGCAACGCCTTGCGCCCCTCCTTCCAGAACCGCAGGTACAGACTTCTCTTTTATTTCGTCTCACAAGAATGCATCCCAAACTCACATCGTCACAAAATGTACAGTGTTTTTCTCATGCAGCCAATCCACGACACGGGAAGGGAAAGGTATAATAAATACAGCGTGGGGGAGGCCAAGAGAGCAAGAGTGCAAAAACTCAAAACTAGCGCTATTATCTCCCCCCCTCGAGCAAAGTCTCTGTTCTGTGCACTCCCCTTTTTTGGGGGGAAGAAAACCCCCTTGGCTGCATCCTTTTTTTTGTCCAGAGTTTTTTTTTGGGGGGGGGGAGCGAAGGCCACCTCGTGCTCGGGGGGGGGGACAGGGGCGGTCAAGAGGATACTCTGAAAACTAACCGCCACAGTTCCAAATAAATTACAAAAGAACCTCGTGTGCGACGCGGCGTGGAGCGAGAAAGAGGTGGTGCCGCTACCGACTGTGAAAGCGCAGGGGGGAAAGTCGACCACGGCAGTGCCACGGCCACAAGAAGGGGCCGCGGGACACAGCCAGGCCGCTGAGCGGAAGCAGACGGAGGCCCGGGCTCGCTTCCCACCCACGGACACACCCTTGGTCATAGCAGCCTCCATCTACAGGAGCCCCGTGGGAGTTATAACCTCCCCCCCACACACACACTCCCTTGTGGGCTTTCTGACCCGGAAACTCCCTGGGTGGTAGCTGCATTTTGTGGGGGAAGGCACGTGGCCTGGGGGATACAGGCCTCTGGCTACTCTACGGGTGTGTTTTATTACACCAGACCCAAGGGAGAGGCGGGGCGACAGTCATGGGGGGTGGTATCATTTCTTTCTACGGAGGTCCATTGTTCCTACCAGCTCCCTGTGCTGAACTGGGGCTTTGCAGTACCAGAAACGGGCCTCTACCA